CCCCAAAACCCCAAAACCCCAAAACCCCAAAAGATAAAATATCAATTTAAAAGAGTAATCTGTTTTCATTGATATAATCAAGGATCAAATATAATAAGGAATATATATCAATCTCTCCATTGCTGAGTGTAGCCACCTGCTCTTCTTATATTATCACTATTAAGTATATTTTCTTACTTACTCCATCCTTAGTAATTGCTGCCATCAGCTGTCCTGAATGTATTCTGACTAGCTATTTTATGATTATTGTTATAACCATTATTGTTGTTGTTGAATACAGGATTGGCACTCATGAGTGATATTCCATCTAAACTCTTGTACTTATCAGTGCTCAAACCAATCTCAGATTCATATGTAGTACGTGGGTACACAAGCCTCCTGAAATTAGATTTTTCTCCATCCTTTTTAAAAAGTTAAATTATCATGTTCAAAAGCATTCCTCTAAATTAGATTTAACCCATGTATTTATTACAATAAAGGAATCAAAACTATGGATGAAATAAATATCAAGCACATGCTGATGATAAAGTAATAATCTTATTTATTTAGGTTATCATTTGGTCCATAGAATAATTTCACCTCTTTCCTCTCTCCATCTATATTAAGTAAATTTCAATATATTTGAAAATCTTACTAATCATAACTGAAACAATCAAGGATGTCAGGAATGTAGTCAGAAAAGTTAGAAACATATTATAGATAAGAATGTTTCTTCTACCAACACAATTGTTAGTCCAAAAGCAATGATGATCGAATTCCTCAATGCATTGATTACAGGCATAGCAATGCTTTGACTGAGGATTCTATACCACTTCACAGAAAGGGCATAAAGAATTAGGATCAAATTTGTTCAGTAATAACATAAATTCGCCATCTATCTTTTTCCCAAGATAACCCGGATTTACAATCCACGAGAGTAAATATAGAATCCCAGTTATTGCGGCTGATAGATTCAGAAATATTCTAAGATACTGCTGCTCAATATTAGGGTATACAACTGTAGCATAAGCTCCAATGATGCAGCCAAAGAGAATCATAAAGCATATTGGGTAGACAATGTTACCCTTCATCTACTGGACTTTGTGTTTCTTAAACATTGAATTGAAGCAGGTTTTGTTGCGTTTTAATAGCCTGTTTAATTATTTTTTTATCTTTTCATCTTAAACTTTAATTGCCATGTCTATTGGTTTTCTCGCTAGTTAATCTTTGATTTTTAAGCTGGCTCCTTTGAATATCAGTTTTTTTATTGTTGAAAACTTCTTATGTTACTCTATGTTCATGACAGCAAGATGCAGAGGAGTAAGTCCAGCTGAATCTTTAGCATTAATATCAGAACCCCAAGCCAACAAATACTAAATTACAGTATGTGAGTTAGATATGCAGGCCCAATGAAGCGGAGAAGAATTTTCTCTATCCCTAGAGTTGATACTAATGCCCATCTTTCTGAAGTAAGCAATTGAATAAGGGGAGTCCCCTTATGCAGCTACATGAAGCATATTGATTTCTTGTCTGTTTGTTGCGTAGACATTGGCTCCAGCATCAACTAGCATTTCAATCATCTTGGCATTGCCATGATAGGATGCAAAGTGCAAAGCTGTAAAGCCAAAGCTATCTTGGTTGTCAAATGTCTAAGGAGTGTTGCTAGTTAAAAAAGTATTAGAATTAAGATTTTGATTGGGATTCTACTCGGGATTAATAGTGGGCTAATTGACCCAATTCTTAAGTAAAGCCCTTCTGTTAATTGCCTGGATAATGTCTTGATCGGAGTTCGAGTAGTCATACTAGTTTATTTAAGCTGCTTGAGCATTCAATTGATCCTTGTTCCCTCCATTCATAATATGCTGTATTAGTACATCTAGACACTGTTCTGAGTTGTTGTAAGCTGCTAAGTGGATAAGTGAATACCCCATCTCATCTCTAATACGAGTTACATCTAGGTTGCAAGTAGCAAGCAATGCCTTTAAAGCTTAATGATCTAGATTCACCATTGTACCCAGGATTTCATTGATCTCTTCATCTCGACCCTCAGTCTCGCCTCCCATCGCACTTGAAAACTTGGGACTTGGCATGTCCATAAGGTAATGATTCTCTCTTGCACCCAGAAACTCATTGTAAGAGTGGATAGAGGAAATAACATCTACCTTGTTATTGTTCGACTTAATAGCAGAAAGTAGCGATTTATTGGAGTTGCCGTCTAATTATTGGTTTTGCATTAATGGTGTCTTCAATTGGCCTATATTTATTAAGGATTGTCAATTCTTCTTGATTTACTTTGATTTAAGGGTTATCATATTTATTGAGTACAATATACTTACTATTCTGAGGGAGATCACTAAGTGCATCATGGAATTATTCACTTGAGGCATCGAATTCAGACGTATTGCTACTTTTCTATCTCGAGTATTGACTCTAATTGAACAATCCAAATATCTATCTGCCTCCTGAGTAAGCCCTTATGCCAGGTGCTCTATTGGAACTGTGATTTCTGGATTGACCCAAATTTGAACTGTTGTTCGAATGCATATTAGATGCTTGATCTAAATGTCTTTATCTATTCATTTTTAAAATGACTTAATAATAATTGTGATTGAGGTAATTTATAAATGGAGAGTTGAATTTAAAAGATTTATTTAGTTACTATCAGATTCATATCTATATTATATTAAATGGGGTTTTGGGGTTTTGGGGTTTTG